TAGTTTTATTTAAATTAATTTTTATTTATATTTTTTATAATTTAAAAAATTCCCTGTTTATGTATCTAGATAATTTATCATTTTAATATTGTTAGTAAACGGTATTAATAATAATATTTACAGTATAGTTAAAATTATTATTTATTTAATATCAATACTGTACAGTAGTAGTAAACACCAACTTTTAAAAATTAATTAACTATTACTGACTAGTAAATGCTACTGCACCTAACGGTGCGAAACAGTACCCATACCTTCCTAACCCTTACAACTCAATACACATAGGCTTTGACTGGAGTCCCGACACAAATAGTCAGACCACTCGCGGGATTTGGTTTTCGCAGCCCTTTATTGTCCACAAATCCAGTGGCGAAGAGGTGGCCATCATTTTGGTGGACACCCAAGGATTGTATGACGACTGCTCAACCGAAAGGGACTGGTCTACTATAGTAGGCCTGAGCCTATTGATGTCGTCCACTCTAATATTCAATGTCCACAATGATCTCGGGGAAGATACACTTAGTAGCATGCACAAGTTTCTTACGACTGCTCAACCGAAAGGGACTGGTCTACTATAGTAGGCCTGAGCCTATTGATGTCGTCCACTCTAATATTCAATGTCCACAATGATCTCGGGGAAGATACACTTAGTAGCATGCACAAGTTTCTGGATTACGGGCTACAGGCGCTCAATAATATCGAGTGTCCAGACGATGACCCTTTTGATGGGGACGGGAGTAAACCATTTCAAGATGTGGTCTGTATTTATTGTATAGATTTATATATTTTATTTCTATTTCTATTTATTTTCTATAAATACGATATCTATTTTCTACTACTCGTATAAATCGTATACAGTATTTAAAAATAATTGATTCAGTATATTTTTCAAACTGTAATACTCTATATAAATTAGTAACAATCTAACAATTTAATAGATAAACTTATTTTGCGGATTAAATCGTTATACATGCAATATTTTATATTTTTAGTTTTAAAAATATTTTAAAGTAAATTATAAACAAATAGTTTTACACCTTATCTCTAGATATTTATGATTCGGGACTGGACCAGACCCGACCCGCCCCACGGTCTAGAAGGGGGACAAAACTACCGAAACGCCAAATTTGAGATCAAACCCAAACAAAAGCCTACCGCAAAAAAGTCCAGACAAATAATTGTTGACAGTTTCGAGAACTACCAGTGCTTTCTGATGCCCAGCCCAGGGCTGGAGGCCATTAGCGGTGACCCGGGTTTCAATGGTTGCGCCAATCGGTTGACCGAAGAGTTTAACGCAAGAGTCGACGAGTTTTGTAGGCATTTGTTGGGTAACGCCGACGCCATTAAAGTCAAGACTATTAATGGTCGTCCAGTGCGTGGTGGTGAGCTAGCACAGTTTTTCGATGAATGTGTTAGGATTTTTAATAGCGATGAGATGCCCAGGGCCAGTGATAATGTCGAGGCCCGGCATAGGGCTGCCGATATTCGCTTGATCAATCAGTTAAAGGTATTCATTTACATTAGGATTATTTTGATTGTAATTATAGTTTAATAATTTATTTTTGTATATTTATATTAATCAAGTACAGATTTTATTATCTTTATAATGAGTTACTAGTAATTCTATGTGAATTAATGTTATAATGGTTACTAGGTCAGAACCACATACACCTATTTTAATTAATTTTACTTTCAATTTCCTTGAATATTTTCTTGAGTAATAAATAAATTTAATTAACTTTATTCGTAATTATAAAAATACAAAATAAGTAAATTTTATGATAATTATACAATATAAATTGTACAGTACTAGATTAGGAACAAGCTACTATAGATATTATTTATTAATTATTTTGTTTAAAATATAATTATATTGTTTATCATTTTAAATAAATAAACATTAATGAAATAATAATTAAAATTGTTTTGACAATAGGATGAGTACGTGAATGAGATGGCAATCCTATCTCTGGACAAACCCTTCAGTGGTCGGACACAACTCACCGCACAATCGGACGACTTGATTGACGGCATGAAAGCAAAGTTCAGTTTTCGTAAAAAATCTTCCGATGAGTCGGTGATACAGGAGTTGACGGCAATGTTAGCCCAGATACTGGACACGGCTTTCCAGTCGAGGTATTCGGATAACGAGAACCGGAGGCTTACGGCTACTAATGATATGATCACTGAATTGGTGGACGAGTTTAAGGCGGATATCAATGAACACATTACTCCCGATGACTACATTAGTGATCATACTTTCGCCAAAATAGTGGACACAAAACGGGAACACATTGTCAATAGGTTTGACACGTTTTGCGCGGTTGAGACACAATTATTTGACTCACATAAGCAAAGGGTATAAAAGTTTTATTAAGTTTTAATACAGTTTTATATTTATATTTTTTTGTTAATTTTGGTAACAGTTATTGAATCAAATCCAAAGCGAGTCCAATGTTTTTATCGCTAATAATAATCAACACAATCATCAGTTAATTAGCACTTATGACAACTGTGTGGCAATGCTTAAGTCCAGATATGACCAGGTATATTATAAGAGTAAACTTATATTAACTTTATACATACTTGTTAATACGGAATATTATAATAAATTAAATGTAAATAAACTAACTAATAAGACAAAGTAATACTAGGTACCTTTTATTTATTTATATGCTAACTTAGTTACTTAAATAAAAATCTAACTTGTAAAAAACTGAAATATAAGTAATTTTACCCTTGTAAAGTACTATATTATACATTTTATTACTAATCACACAGAAAATGAACGACCTATACACTGACCCTGCTAAATACTACGACACCGAGGAACTGGAGGCACTAAGCCTGAGCATACAGCTTGACCTACAGGTGACTTTGGACGCCTGCGACGCAAACACCGACGTCATACCCATAACGCCCTACAAGGACTCCCTAGACTCCTATATCCGGCACAAATTACAGGGCCTCCTCATGATGAACACCCAGCGCCGGGACCATGATATGAGTGCCATGGAGACGGTTATGTCAAACCTGGTGAAGGAATACGAGGACGAACTGAACGCCTGGATCGAGGACTCGACAGATATAGACACTCGGGAGGAGTTCCTCAGACAGACCCGGGATATCAGCGCCCGTCTGATTGCTGAAAACCGCCATAACCTGCGACTCGACGTACGAGAACTTAAAGACCGATTTCAGGCTACCGTTCCCGACCTGATCGACATATTCGCGGAGCACGTGGACAGCCGTCGCGTTACTGAAAAATTATTGGCCGACCGTATCATCCAATGGTATAACCAGGAGATGGGCCGGGAGTACGACAACACAACATTCATAATACCGGAGCGCTTGGAGGGCATACACCGGGGACTGGTAGACACAGCCCTAAAAAAGTTTAAAAATCAACGTGGTCATATAACCAGCGACCGGTACGATGAGCTAGTCAGGGATATCCTAAAAACGGCGTACCAAACGCA